GGAGAAAGTGCATTCGCCCGGTGCAATCGATGCGGCGTGCATTTAAACTTGACACTTGCAGCCGGTACCTCATTCGCGGGCGAAACCGGTTCGCGCTCGCCGGCCACGTAACCGATTACGCGCTCGTTAATTCCACCGAATTCGAGGAAAATCGGGCAGCTTTTATGGCGAAAGAATGCCACCACTGTGCCGGGGCAATTAAATCGATCCGATTCGAAGAAAATTCTGCCCAGATAGAATTCACCTTTTTTTAATAGTCTTCAACTATAAGCACTTTTACAGTCTTGCGTTATAAAACATTGGACGGACGTCGAGAGACAATATTGAATTGTTCGTGGAATTATGTCGATTTCAGGTACTTTGGTGTAATTATCGCAATCGAGAGAAAAATTATGTTTGATTTATTAGTACCCACGCTTAACCCTTTCGTTTCCTATCGTAATCGTAATAAAGCTTTACGTTTATCTTTTATCATGGCTGTGTCTTTTTAAATGGTTCTTCCTTTAAATTAGATAAATAGAAGAAAATAACACGATAATATTTGAAATAAACTGGAGTGAAATTTTTGTGTCTTTAAGATTTCTAGTATCATTTCCATCTGTTTTCGTTACACGGCGAAAAATTGTCCAGCAATTTGGGGAAAAATGAAATATCGGCCTGACCGTGACCGAGATGACTAATTACCCTGTCGATTCGATCAAGAATTTGTCAAATGAATAGCAATCCCTGTATCCAATCGGAATTCATAGGCTTTGCTGGTTTCTATGAATTTCCGATAGGTTTGAGAACCAAACGGCCACCTGTCGCGTAAATTCCGATCCTTCGGAGATTAATATCATTTGCATACATAGCTGACATAACATCACGTATCAAATCGGAAGTCGAACTTTACAAGAGCAATATCTGTTGCATATATTTCCCACTTCTCCGCGCATTCTCTCCCTCCCAGGCAACAGTCGCAGCGAACACTTTTCCCCCGTAAGCTCGCTCGCGTGTGCGCGAAAATATGCGAAACGTGGAATAAAGATCGTATTAGAAAAAAGCTGGAATATTCAGACTTCATTCGTACGTGAACTTGCAACAGCGTGGTGGAGTGAAATTTATGCGAGTGCTCGGAATTTTAACCGGAAACGAGGAGAAGCTTAGGGGAGAACGTACGTAAAGGGGGGAAAGCTTTACGAGAAAAATCAGACTTCACAACGGTAATTAAGTGAAACACTGGTGCACGAAGGACCAACGGCTCTCTCTGTGGCTCCATTGAAATCTCTACACTCGAAACGATCTCGCAGTCGTAAAAACAAGCGGTCTTCGTAATCTCATAATTCGAAGGAATCGTGAACAACGTTCAAAGAGATATTTCTCCGCGGTTGAAAAGAACGGATCGGTTTTATACCGCGGAGAGCCATTAATAACCCGCGTGTACAAGCATAAAATGCAACGAAAATAAAGCTCAGAGACGTATACGAAGAGATTAATACCGCGGACCGATGCTAAATTAAACGTCGCGAAGTCGATCGGCATCCTTCGACGTTATTTACCACGGTTATTCGGAATTCTCTCCTTTCTTTCTCTTTGTACCACGCGTGGGTGCCGCCTTTCGAGAGGAGGAATTCGAGGGAAGAGCAAATGGTCGAGCTCATGGCCACGCTTTAGAAACACGTGAATAATTCATCGGCGAAGAATTAACAGTCCATTCACGCGTGTCGCGAAAAAGGAGGCACAAAGGCGAGCTGCAATCGAAGAACACAATTCTGACAAACTATTCTCATGCAGAATCGCCGCAAATGTCCAGAAAATCGGTATAAATACGCGTCGTAGAGATACACGTCTACTAACGAAACGTCCTTAAAAAATTGGTAGATATTTGAAAAAGAGATCGATCCTAAATCGAAGCCGTAACTTCTCGAATAATCTTTCCTCTTGCATCAGAATTTATATCCTTTTTCCCCAGAAACATCGTACGATCCTTTACTGGTTTCCGGGAGTATCTTCGTGCGACATTCGCCGCGATATACGCGGATACTGAAGAAAGGGGATGGGTGGATCTCTTCCGGAAACTTGTACGACTTAAAAGAATAAAACGGGAATACGAGTATGCGGCGGAGAATGGAGACTTTCGCGGAACTTCCCTCTCACAGGATTAACTGTTTGGCCGCGAGGAAACTTGCCTGGCGTAATGTCCCGTTTAAAATTCCGAAAACACGACGAGTTCGCGTTTCAGAGAGAGAGAGAGAGAGGTTGATCGAAAAATTCGCTACAATCGGATTTCTCCGCATTATTCGACCGAATTTCCGCTAATTTCGAGGCGAAACTTGGTCCTGTATCAAGTTGACCGAAAAATTTGCTTTTCGTTCTCCACGCTCGATCGTTTATTTCATTTTCCCTCCTCCCCCTCTCCTCCTCACTCTGATTCTCGCTCTCTAATCAATTTTGATATCGCGCTCGATCGGCTGTGCGATTCCTCTTTGAGAAACAAAGCGTACCCGGCCTGGATTTTATAACATTTCATTAAACATCGCTATTTGCGGTTGGCACGAATCTCATTTCGACCGAATTAACGACCGCCAGCCTCTTGTTCTACAGGCTGAGCCAAAATATGTGGTCCTTGAAATTTCACGATCAAGTGAACAAGGAAATCGTTGAAAGTATGCAAAATACACGAGAGTAACGTTACAATCGTACATTTATACAGGGTGTTTCACTTAAGCTGAACGTCCAAATTATTTCCATTGCTATTGAAAGTAAGAAAAAATCACCAAGAGAAGCTTGTAAATATTCCCTCAAGATCGTCATCATGTTTTCACACATTTATATCTGTTTCATTTAATGCCACGGTATAGCTGGTGTCAAGACAAGTTCAACGACCTATAACATGTCATTGTAATAAAAAGATGACGTCGATGACCATGGAATGACAGAATTAAAATTTGAAGAGTTAACTAGCCTTCTCCAATTATGTTCACCGTACATATGCTCCCACTTAACTCTTAAAATTATGTGCACTTATTTTGAGACGTCCTGTAGCTCCGCCATTTCTATGTCAATAACATTCGAACGACGTTCGTTCAAATAGATTTGAAGAGTTAACTCCAATTACACTCGCTACGTTCATATTTTCAATTAATCCCTAAAATTATGTCCACTTATTTTGAGACGTCCTGTAACTCCGTCATTTCTATATCGATGACATTCAGACAGACTTGCAAAGTTAACTAGCCTTTTCTAACGATATTCACTATATTTATATTCTCAATTAATCCCCAAAATTGAGTCCACTTATTTTGGCACGTCCTGTAGCTCCGTCATTTCTACTCTCGCGTTCGGTACGAACTGGTATATCGCACGTGATCAGCGGTATAATGTCCCTTTTTCGCGTCGGCCGAAACGTACTCGCGGATTCTGCGTGGGCCACGGCGTGGGCGATTTAACACGCGCACACGACCGGTTCGACGAACGTACGATTACGTCGCATTACACTTGGCGCGATCCGTACGGTCGTCTCTCGGAGAACGTCACTTAAGTTCCCGGTGTCGCCTTTTTACTAATATAAGACTGGCCAGGCATTTAGGTGAGAGCACGCGACAAATGTCACGCCTTTGTTGATCTATAAATCGCTCGTAAGGATTGGTATATACGAGCGTTCGAAACGCCACTCTTGCCCGTTCACGAACGACACTTTACTGCCCGTTGCTATTTTTAACGCTAAACAGACGTGCCGTAAACCTGCTAGACATTTTTCATTTTTCCCAAAAGGGACGTACATCTATATACATACGTATACGTCGAGATAGAATGAAAAAGTAACGGATTAACTTGATTGCCGTTGTAAATTACGAATGCAATTACGTAGCACGAGCTCTACGATGGCCTCGATATCCTTCGACGAGATATATCGGTCCACTGATATCGTTGCATCGTTTACATCGTTACATCAATATCCTCTACGTTATTATATCGATTTTCTCGTCGATCGTTGTGTATCGATACGGCGGCTATTCTTGCGAGATTAAACGTTTCACCGTGAAGACCTCGATAGCGCCGGTTTTAATTTTGCTCCAAGGATGATATGTGTTTGTGAAGAAAAAAAAAAAAAAGACAAAGAGAGGAGCTCATTAGGACCTCGGTATCCTTTTTACATTAGGTGTTCCAGATAGGAGGAGATCGAAATAGGTCGCAAGCTACGAGAGAAAAAAGAAGGGATATTTTTACATACTCGACACACACGCACACACGGTTCATTCGTCACACGTTTACGCTAGAAAACGTGCGTGTAATTCGTTTCGACAGGTTCGATTAAAATATCGACAACGCTCGATGGAGGAATTATCGAGAGGGAGAGAAAACGCGGCATTTACTGCACGTGACGTGACGCAATTGCATCATTAGTAACTTTAGGCCACGATCCATGGACTATCAGTTGCACAACGTACCTACCCCAACCGATATAACTGAGAACAAAGTAATTGAACTTGTAGAAAATTGGATTGCACGTGTAGTAACGTTGCACGAGTTACGGGAGTTCTGTTACGAGTATATACACACGCTACCAGTAGCTTCCCATTAAAAGGAACAAAATATTTGTTCATCCCTGTACAGGTTAAGCAAAGCGGAATTATTCCCGTGGAATCCCGTTTCGTTATCCGGACTGTGCACGGTGTCGTACCTTATCGATCGGCCTGCGACATTTCGCATTTATAGGGAAAACGAGATTACAGGTGAAGTGGGAAAATTCTTAAAACTCCGTGCAACAATCGCCGGGAGATTTATGCATTCGACGCGCGTACAATGTGCGGCAACCTCTGGTAGATTGTGAAGCGTAAAGCCAATTAAACGGGGGGACGGTTGAGGTAAGTAAGTCGGAAAGAACGAAGAGAAACCTGGCAAAACATTGTCGTTTGTTTCCTGCATTCCAAACTGGCGTAGGGATCACGTCTCGCGAGAATATCTGGATATTTTCGTTTACAGGCGGCGTGCTTAAGAATATCACTGAGTAAACTTACCCGTCGGTGTTGTGCGTGAGAAAAGACTTTGGCAGAGACAGCGACCGTTGATGAGGATCTAAAGATCCATCCGCGGATAGAGTGTCCTCCCCTCTGGTTGGAGCGCTTCCAGGTCTAGACAGCATTCCATCTTTCGGCGGCTCCATCAGCGTCTTCAGGGAACCAATCACCGCATCCTCCATGGGAGTGGACGCGCCGGAACTCTTCGCGTTCCTCGGGCTCTTGGTCACCGTTCTGTCGGACGTAGTGACCCAGATATCGCTGCTAGACGAGGAGGACGTGGCCGACGAGGAAACTACCTGACCGCTCGGCGATCTGTTCACGATATTCTTCCCTTGAACAGGCGACACTTTTCTATCCTTGTTCTCGCAACCTTCGAAGCTACCGGCGAATTCAGGTTTCTGATAGAATCTGTGATGCTCCCGTTTCTCCACGCTCGAACCATTTCCATTAGATCCCTCCAGGGGCGACCATCTACTAGGCTGCTTCAACACGCTCTTCGGCTGCCTCTCCTGGTACTTAACCGCGTTACTCGCGTTACTGTTGTTCTGATCGCGAATAGCTCGATTCTTCCGGGTGGTCTCGCGTTCACGGAACTCCCGATCGTCCATTCGCTCTAATGACGCCGGAGACGAGCTGGCGCTTCCTCTGCTCGCGTGGCTCGCAGCCGAGTCCGCGGGGAGTCTCTGATGAGCTGGATAGCTCTGGGACAGCTTCATGAATACCGGTGCCTGGTTAGGAGAGTACAAAGTGTCTCTTTGCGAGCAGTGCGGCCAGAAGTCGCAAGTGCTGCTGTTACATCGTAACTTCGTGTCGGGGCTGATGCAGAAGTCGTGGTTCGACGTGGAAGGATTCGCGTTAGGGGTCGTCGCACCTCTTTGCAACGTCTTCGGCCGTCTGGTTTGCTGTTGCTGGGACTGTTGCTGCTGCTGCTGTTGCTGCTGCTGTTGCGACTGCTGTTGCATAGAGGTGCCGGCTGATTTTGAAGATTGCTGCTGCTTCGAGGAGATGAAGTAAACGTCGTAGGTGTTTGGATTGCTCCTTTGTCTCTGCTCCTGGCTCTCCTCGCGGCGCTCGAACCGACTCGAGAGAAGATTCCTCGCGACTGCACGGCTTCTCGTGCCGTAAAGGAACTCGGTTACTGCCTCCGTTTCACGGAGAATCTCCTCGTTTAACGCGTCCTCGGTTGACTGCGCCTTCCCTGCAGAAACACACACACGGACAATATGATACAGTGTGATAAACACAAATAGAGAGTAACAGAGAGAAGGAAAGATTAAAAAGAGACTTGGGTATTAGAAAGAATGATCAAAGTTCGCGAGATTTGTCGAACAATGAAAAATTGCATTAAAGTAGAATTTCATGGAAGAATCGTAAGGATTAAATCGACGATGATACGTACTATTTTGCAAAATGTGACGTTTTCTCTCGTTCGCTCGATCGGTGGAAATTTTCACGACGACTCTATGGGGTTCGTTAGATTCCCTCGAGTGTTCCCTGTTCGGCGCCGCGGCGCTCGGAGATCTCTTCTCCGGTAATTGAAGACTTCTGGATCTTCTTACCCGCGACTGATGAGATTCCGGGGACACTTGCGCCGTCCTGGCGCTCTGATGCTGCCTCGGAGCGTTGCTACGTCGGAAAGGATTGGGCGTCGGGGATCTCCCTTGTCTTTCAGCGCTGCTAGACGACGACGAGGTGGAGGATGGTGAATTGAACGATAACTTGCCGGATTCCGAGGATCCCGGTGATCTTCTTAATCCCTGTTGACTTCTATGATGACGAGCCTGCCTGTTCGGCGAGATCCTCTCGCCGTTCGCGCGGATAGACTCCGTGGACGAGTTCAACGCTATTATCGAAGAAGAAACGAGGCTGAGATTCAACGAGGAGCTAGGATTGTCGTCCTCGTCGTCGCCGTCGTCGTATCCCTCCACCGATGAATCCGTATTCTCGGCCAATCGAGGCATCGTAGATCTGGTAACGCAACTATCCAGACTTCTGAAACCCACCGACGACGAAGACGAACTCGAGGATTCTAAGTAACGTTGCACGAATTGCGATCTTCTCGAAGATGTTGGATCTTCCAACGATTTAGCCTGCGCCATTCTGTACTGCTGCTGTTGTTGTTGTTGTTGTTGCTGCTGCTGCTGCTGCTGTTGACTGGTGATGGTACTCTGCCTCCGTGATCTGGACGGAGCGTTCGAGGATTTGCGGGAGGAAGACGGCAAGGAACTCCAATTCACCTGATGCGGAGGCGAAGGTGGAGGACTGATGATGTCACTGTCCACTATAGCGTTGGATCGCGGCAGGAACGGCGCCTTTCCATAGTTGTTGCGGCCCGTAGCGTGCTTCGACGAGGATTTCTTGCCGACTACATCCTGGAACGCCGGCGGTGGCGAGATGATCGGCGTGATCGACGGAGGGGAATAAGATTCCGGGATGCTGTGCGGTGACGTGCAAGTGCTGCTCACCACGGAATCGAAATCCTGGCCGTGGAGCGCCAGATAGTCCGGCCTTTGGCTGTCCAATCGTAGAAACTCCTCCGGACATTTGCCTGGCTCGCTGTTGCAATGATAGTCGGCCAATTTCACCGTGGCTCGCCGCGGTAACGGCAGAGTGCCCGTGGTCGCTGTGACCAAGCTACTCTCGTAGTTTATCCGTCGGTTCTCGTCGAGGGATCGTTGTTGCACTTGAACCCAACCCGATCGACCCAGATAGACACCGTCTACCTCGCGATCGCACCATCTCACCGGTGACAATTCTCGGCTGCAGTCGCCGCTGATGAAAAGTTCGCCGGAGGTGCCGCTGTTCCCCGACAGGAACGAATTCGAGGATTCTCGACGTCGAGAACTCGTCACCTGTTATCCGAGAGAAATAGAAGCATCTTCGAAATGTGTTCTCGATATTTTCATTTAATTCTCTTTCGGTGTTTTGAAGCATGTTTTCTTTTTCTCTTTTTTTTTTTGAAAGATTTACCGCAACGAGCGACGTTTGGAAATTTAAATAACGAAAATAAAAAATGGGGGGAAAAAAGGTTTCTGCGTGGAGAAATTTTACAGCTTCCAAAGCGACAGTTTACGATACCATATCGGGGTGCGCCGGGATACGAAAGAAATATAGCACAATAAAATGTATTTTTTCCCATCGATGTATTTTACTTGCCTGACCGTGGCTATCCTGTCGATGCTGTTTTAAACTGGACGTGGAGGACGTCGATGCTGTTGTGTCGTGCCGCTTCAACGATGGTATCGAGGTGCCACGCGTATACGAACCCCGCGCGCTTCCACTTGATTTTCCTTTGCCGCCAGTTTGACTTTTATTGCTTCCAACGCTGTACGCGGAGCCTTGAGAACCGACTTCCCATGGATCCGACGTGCTGCGTAAATGCAGGATCGACACGTTTTGACCTCTGTGAACAGGTTACAGGGGACACTTTCAGCCAATCTTCCTTCGTCGATTGTTGTAAAAAATAGAGAAATTCTCTGCTGCAAATTCAATCTTCTGATAAATTTTCAAAAACGACGTTCTCACAAATCACCGTTCAACGTAAAAACGATTTATTATATCCGGTGGTATAGCCAGTGTAAGTTTCGACAGGAAATATACCGCGAAAAATGCAACGGAGTAGATTCATTTTCCAGCGAACGTCTCGAGTTGGACTCTCGAGAATACTACCCTTAGCAAATAGTCGCGGAATATAATATACGTGTGTGTATATTTAAAGTTTCTATCGGTGGAACTCGATTCGAGGAGGTTGTTGCACCGCTACAAACCTCGACTTCTGGCACACTGGTTTTCCCTCTTATTCGCGAACTCGGGGACAATCTAGCCGTATAAATATTCATCGGGACTATGTGGTTAGCGCGATATATGTAGATATCTCGCGATAGCGTAGGAAGCAAATAAAGATGTCACGAGGGAGAAGAACGAAAGGAAACGAGGACGTAGCATCCATCTTGCTTCGGAACGTCTAGAGAGACGGGACCGACCCTTTTTCCTCCGGTCTTTAGATCCGAAAACGACCACAGCCAACGATACCGCCGCGGAATCTACTATGTGGCAAAAGCTGGCAAAGTACGAGCCGCGGTAAAACGGATTCGCCGTCGACGTTTCGCGTCCCAACGAAAATAAAACCTGCTCGTCGTGTTCCGCGGGACACGGAAACGCTTCCAGTTTAACTGTGATTAAATGTACAAGGGGTTCCTTTTTCTTCTCTCCGTGGCTTTCTTTTTCCGTCTTTTTTCCGCTCTCTTTTATGTTTCGCGCGTGCGGAGACGCGAACGAGCGATGGAACGTGATTAGAAAGCAGAAATACACCCGCGTTCACGAGAATTAGAATAACTGTCAAAGTTGAGGAATTATTACGAAATTACGAAGACTTTGAAAGATTGTAGCAAGAGAAAATAGAAATCCTGCGAAGTGTACCGGGTGTCTCTCTTATATTATTTCTGCTGATACTGAAAGTGAGAAAAAATTACCAAGAGGAAGATCATCAAAATAAACATCGTTTTAAAGTCCTCGATATTTTTTTTTACAATTCTCCCAAAGTCAGTGTTAAATTAGGGTGGCTTCAAGATCCTCGACTTTGTGCTTTTGACTGTTAATATGCAAAAAAATGACGATGACTTGGGAATGATCTTCACGATGATCTCGAAGAAACTTTTTCTTTCTCAATCGCTATATACTCCTCTCCTAACTTTTTTCTCACCTTCAACACTACCGCAAATAATTCAATCGCTCGTCGCAAATGAGACACCCTGTACATACACCCCGGCACAGAGTCGGCGTCTCGAGTTATGGTATCGACGTTAAAAGGAATAGGGATAGTTAAACGGTTCTTTTTTACACCGCTACCGGTTGCAGTGATATCTATGCGGCGAAGTTAAAGCAGAGTGACCTGGATATCAGCGATGGAAAGAAGCGATGGAAGAAGGAAATTTATATTCTAACTACATTAACGAGGATACTTTCGCGTATACGAGGACATGAATTCGCATTCGGGACAATGTTTCAGCGAACCGCCTGGACTGCGGGGACGTTTTAAACGTTTTCGTGAAACCGACAGTGGGAAGGGAGGTGGACAGAATTGAAATTCGCGGGGCTTGGTTTCTGGTTGCGTGGAGAGAGTATGTACGTCGTTGGAGGGAAATTTTCGAAATGGAATCCGCTATCTCCGTTCGGGCAAATGAATTTTCCAGGATGTCGGGGAGAAACGAGGAGAACCCGACACTTCGGTAATTCGCAGATGTTCCCCCGCCGTTTATCATTAACGAGTGTCTCGCGTAAATGCAGCGAGGACGGGAAAGAAGAAAACGGCGGAAGAATAACTTTTTCCGGTGTAACGATTCGTGAAAGAAGGAGGAGGAACAGGGAAATGGAATTGTTGGCAAGATTCGAATTGTGCGCGACTCGCCGCGAGTGGTTGAAACGTTGAAATAAATGACGTTCTAATCTTCCAAATGACTCGATTCCGTTCTCTCTCAGATTGGATCGTGTATTCGAGCTGGTAAATTATAAACGATGGGTTAATACGCTGAGTGGAAATTTCGCCAGTGGAAAGTTATGAAATATATTATCGCTTCTACTTCTGCGTTAATTTGCAATTCTTTTTTCGTTTTATGTACTTGTTAACGGGAGAAGAAAGGAATTGTTAATTATCGGGGAGAGAAGTAACGCGTTTGATAAGAATACTACTTTTTTTCCCCCTCGAGGGATATAAAAGGTGCGGACAGGAATGTTTTTCGTTCACATCGACGACCGGCTTCTCTCTATTTCCAGCTAGACACAGACATGCACTCCGAAATATATAAGTCCGCTAATTTGTTTCACTCCGGGTGACACGAGAGCTAAATACAACGCTATTTCTGGACGATCCTATCGGCCAGTACGGGTATAGGTGTCCTGGATTAATTATATTTACCTTTTAACCGACATCGCTTGCAGGGTAGCTGTCTTCCCTCGGCTTTCACACTTGGATTAAGATCACTGTCGCGCGTTAAATTAAGCTGCCAAATATCACGGTCCTTGCCGGAGATATACGCACCGTCATTTCACGGTCAAATTAACGTTTCTACATCGACCAATTAATTAACCAAACGTCCACCATCGGTCAAACTTCACCGAGCATCGAGATTCACTTCGCAGATTTCGTGAAACGATTTTCTATTCGACACGTTAACTCTTAACAGCGATCGTTCGTCTCTCAAAATGAATTTTACCTGTCGCCGTTGAAATTTTTTCAAATACTATTAACCAAACATTCACTTCACAGATTTAATTTCACGGAGAAACTATGTTTTATTCGACGGGTTAACTCCGACAGAGATTATTTATCTCCTGAATTTTACCTGGCGCCGTTAAATTATTTCAAAGACCTTTGATAAATAAAATAAACGCTATTACCGTAGCTGGTACAAAATTCGCGAAACAACGAACGTGTTAAATAGAAGGATAGACGTTAAAAAACAGAGAAGATTAAGATTGAGCAAACGAGAGGAGCGATTCGAGAAAGCAAGCTACCTTTCCACGATCTCATTAACCGCGATAAAAATGATCCGGGACAACTAATTAACCGTATAGGGGTACGGAAGGAGCTCTAGGAAACGTCCGACGTCTCCCTTCCACCGGTTCTCTCTCGTTGAATTTTGCATTCCCGTGTGTAAACAAGTTGCGCTCCGCGGGGAAGCGCCGGAGACAGAAGAGCGACCGGTGCAGGAAGCGGTCGCGTCGTTTCATTCGGCTTCATGAAACTTACATCACGTGTAACCACCGCTCGAGCTCGAACGCTACAAAAAGTAAACACCGAGCAAAGAGAAATAGAGAGAGAGAGAGGAGAGAGATGTAGTAAACTCCGGGCAGCGATCGAATTAATTTTCTTTTTATCAACGTATCGACGAAGCTCGAGACGATCTACGGGTATTAATCTTCCGAACGAAAGGACGCTTCTTACGACATCGATCCATCCCCATTTTCTCCCTCCCACCCCCTCTCTCTCTTCTATTTTCAAACGAATATCAGACTGGTCGTTACGCTTTTGTAATTGCACCGTCCCTCTTTACTATTCACCTAGCCCGAGAAGGTGTCCTTTTTTGGGCTGTGTGGCGGTGCCACCACACCGACGAATAAAACACTCGAGGAACGGGACAATGAACTCCGAGGCCCACGTAAAAAATTAACACGTTCCGCGTCGCGCGGCTCCTCGGTGACCCGTGACGGTTACCGGAGGCGAAACATTCAACGAGGCTACTCTGATACTCTCCTTTTCCATGGAATTATCCGCAAAGAATGTCGCTGAACGAGTATATAAACTCTACATATTCAATTCTTCGTTATGAAATAACAGGTTATTCACAAACACACGCACGCGGACATTTTATTTACCAAAGGCAACAATTAAACTCCACGTGAAAAAAAGAGTCCTTGCACCGATGAAACCAGTCGGAGATGTTCGTAGTAACCAGCACTGTTTCCATGAAAAAAAAATGAAACGAGCAACCACAACACCGAGAGAGAAAGAGAGAGAGCACACGAAACGCACACTTGATACACGTGACAACACCTGTGCAACCGTATACGGATGCAAATCGCGAAGAGTGGAAAGCGGGCTCGTTAAAACCGAGTTACGCCCCACCCCTGTTACTGCATCCCTCGAAAAAAGTAAAAGGGAATAGGGTGAAATAGAAAAATTGCGTTGCAAATAGCGGAAACGATGGTTGTAAAGGGACACACGACGCAGGTAGAGTGTAACGACGAAAGGACGAGATGGAGAAAAAAAAAAAGGAGGAAAAACAGAGAGAACACACGCGTTACCTGTCGCCGCGGGAGCCAGTGGCCGTATTCGAGATGTCGGTAGAATCCGCGGCTGGACTGACTCTACGAGGTGGCAGGGCGGGAGCAGGGGCCTGACTCGAGGACGAGGTCGAAACGGGCCCTATGACGCCCACGTTGCCCCCACGTACCCCGTCCTCGGCCGAATGCTGCCTCGAGGATTGCGAGCTCTGCGACAACCAACGTCGCCCGCCGGTTCTCGTCACCACCGTCGCTCCTCCGCTCGATCCTGTCGCCTGATGGGACACCGCTCCTCCGCTGTCCAGTGACGTGCTCTGCGATCAGAAATTCAAATTAGAGAGGCGAGTTAGATCGTGGTTAGAGGGGATTTGGGGAGGGGTTGATTTTCGAGAGGATCGGGTAATGGGAGATTCTTCGTGGGACTCGGATTTTGGGGGTAATTGCCGATTAGTGGGGCTTGGTTATCTTTTCGGGTAGATTGTGTGCTTTTGGGAGACTTTTCGGCTGCTTTGTTGAGACTTTGAGTACCTGGAAAATGTAGACGGAAGTTTGGTAATGGGAGATTCTTCCTGGGATTTAGATTTTGGGGATAATTGCTTATTACTAAGGTTTGGATATTTTTGGGTAGATTGTGTACTGTTGAAAGCCTTGTTTGCTATGTTCTGTCGAGACTTTGGGAATTTGGAAAATGTAGGAGAGAGAATCAGGTAATGGATTACTGGGATTTGAATATTCTCGGTGCAGATTGTGTATCTACTTCTGGAAGACTTTTTTATTATCACTATCAGTGTAGCGACGATGATACATTCGAGTTCCAATTAAGCAATCTGCAATGCAAGGACACGAATTATACCTGGAAGCCTCCACAGTAGTAACGTTTTTATTGTACTCTAATAGAGACTGCAAGTAATTTGTGTAATTTTTATTTAGGACAATATAGAACAAGTAACGTGGTTAATAGTATTTTCTGGTTGATTTCATTGAACGTAGTGCATCGACAACGAGACACCGTAATCGATGCTCCCCTATTGCGGCAGACGGGATGCGGTTAGAATAGATAGCGAAACGTTTGACTTTTTTTTTTCTTCGCCGTTTTCAATTATTCCTTCGACGGGGAGAAGCTAATCGATTCAGCATGGACTGTCGCTCGAAGGTTTCTCATTGGTCTCGTCTTTTCACCGTCTTCCCTCGATTTTTTCCATTCGTTTTGCCCCGTCTCGTTCGATGAACGACAGGGAAGCATTTCTCCCCGATGGAGAATTCACATTCTTCGACGGGGGAATTCGAGATTCGATGATCGGTTCGCGGAAACCGCCATAGAATTTCTTAAGATTCGTAGAATATCGAGTGGAGAGGGTTTATTGCCCCTTTTTACCTTCGTTAATCGCATTCGTTTCCTCCTCGCGGCATTCTTCCGATTCTGCCGGCCGAACATGGCTTGTTTCACGAGTCGCGCTTTTAAAAGGAAGATCGTTCCTCCAGAATGATATTACACGTAATTATCTTCTTTTTCCCCGAGTAATTAATTGATTCCTGAGAAACGGCCTCGTACACCGTCGCTCGCTACATTCGTACAGCTCATCGTTCAATCATTTCAATCTTCTCACCCGTTTAACAATGAAACACGAGAGAAGAGGATAAAATAATAAATTAATCGACCGAAGAGAACGTATTGCGAAAATAATTCAGTGCCTTTTCTCACAAACTTCAATATTTATTTGCGAAAGATCAAACATATCTCCATTATTTCGGGCGACCTTTTTCAATTTATCGACTAACTGACGAATTCCTTCTCTAAAAAAATATGGCAATTTTGATCCGACAAAGTCTTCCAGGCTTTCTGAAAAAAGGTTTTCAACGTTTAAACTTTATCTATTTTCTCCGTCTGTTTTACTGCGACAAATTCCTCTGAAAATACTAGCTCGATTTTCTATTTCGCGAAACAGAATCCGGATCCAGCCAGCCCGGAGGAAACTCAGCATAAAATAAAGCCCAAGTGAGAAAACACAATTCCCCTCATCCAGTCGTATTTCTAACGGGCAAAAGGGTGAAAAACGAATGTCTTTTGACGCGAACGATACGCTGGGATAAAAATCAGCCACCCTGAGATTGCATAAAAGCATTCTGTGTATCGTTGCGACGAGCTCGTGTCGGCACGCTCTGACACGAGACGAACTAAACTCCGCGGCTCTACAAGAGAACACAGGCTGCCGCCTGTTTCTACTTCCAAATACGGACGAGGCGCGAGAGACTGGCTACGCAACTCCTTCGATGAAAGTATTTTTATTTTCGTCGTGTGTGCTACGTGAAGAGAGAGAGAGAGAGAGAGAGAACCCGTCTGAGCTCGAGAGCCAGGTCGAAGCCAAACCAGAAGAGAGCCTGTCACTTTGAAGCGCGCGCCGATCAGATTCTCTCCGATTAATTGTCACTCTTTCTCTCTCGGTCTCTCGTCGCTTGCCGGACGAGAATTGGCGCCGTTGATAAGAAATATGAGAAATCGAGGTCACCTCCAGTGTGTTTTATTGCTTCTACACGGCGGATTTCTTTCGGCCACTCGGTTGTTTACCTAACGTGGAAAAATTGAAATGACCTCGCGCCGCCGCTCGCGAAACAGGATAGAAATCGACGGGAATATCTAGGTCGAACCGATAATTCAGACGTCTCGGACTGAATTTGTTGCGTATCTCCGTGGAAACTTTGTTCGTAGTCTTGTTCTCCGTGCTTCTGCACTTCCTTCGAATATCACGGTTCCTACAATTCTACATTTCCCCAGAACTCTGTTTCATCTGAAATCTCTTCCTCCGCGTCCTCCTCATTTCCATCGCGGAACTTTCTTAATAATTAATATCGTTCCCGAACTTCGTTTCTACGATCCTTAAATCTTGCCGAATAGGCGCATTGTTACGGAACGTGGTAAAAATCGCAGAGAACTTACGTTCAGATGATTCTTCCTGGACGTGACGGAGGAATCCTGGGAGGAGCCTCTCGAGTAATGCCTGGAGAACACTTCGGCGAGCCTGGATCTCCCCGAGCTCGTCGGGTTCTTGGATTTATTCGGCGGGGTTTCGTCAGGCGGTTTCACCAAATTCGGATTGCTGCTCTTGCGCTCCGGGAAAACTAAATGCTCGATGTTTGGCGTGTATCCAGGATCGCTTCTGACGATATCCTGGAGGGTCAGTCGGCTGCCGCTGCTCGGTCCTCCATTGCTGGAACAATCGAAAAAAAAACTGATTCCTTTTTCGGCCAATTCTCTCCATTTATCGCGCGATACAACCATCCTGACGTATCTTCCGTTATTTGCAAGTCAAAAAACCCCTCCACGGTACGTCCCGTTCGTTTCGCTTCGCTTCGTTTCGTGGTCCTGCGAGAGATGGAATTCTTTTTTTTCTTTTCTCTAGGGGAACGCGTTAATATTTATCGGGATTGTGCGAAATGTGCGGTGGCGTTATCCCCGGGGTATCCAGAGCCGGTCTCAGGGGGTGTCGAGATTCTTTTCGCGTGAAAGGAATTTCGTGAAGGGACGCGGGACAGAAAAGGGTTGAAGCGGGAACGTGAGAGAGTAGAAAGAACGAGGCGGGAACAAAGAGAGGGAGAAACAAAGAAAGGGGGCAGAAGGCGGATCAGTGAAATACATGGTGAATGCAATGTCGCGCACGTCGACACGTGTAACGTCGGCTTAAAAGGGTTAATTATGCAAGCCCACTGAAAGCCACGGATAGTTTACTGTCTCTTTTCCTGCTATTTTCCTCCTCTCCTCTCGTCGCGATCCGTCAAAAACGATCAAAAAAAGGAGAGAAGGAAAGAAAGACGAAGTAGATGGAAGAGAAAAGGAAGGAAGGAAACGGTCGGCCGGTAATAAAAATGTCGACAGCAGACCGCCCTGGGATCTATTGTAGCCGAGGCTGTAATGAAGACGAATACATGAAAGCGACAAGGGAAAAAGTACGATACGTTGAAACCGTTTTTCTCTGGGCCCGTTGCCAACGCGATTCTTCCCTTTTTTTCTCCTGTATACATTTTCCGACGGAGAAATTTCAAAAAGGTCAAAAAATGTGTAGTCCCTACTAGACCGGAAAAAGTTCATTTCAAGTTAACAAGAAAATGTCACGCCCAAATGTTACAACCCATTTCCCCCATCCACGAGCAAAAAGAAAAAAATACGTTCTACAATTATTCCTTCTTTTTTTCACCGATATTAATTTAACCTTTAACCCTTAGAAGCTTTCATGGATGAAATTTCACTCCACGCGAATTTTCTTCGGATTTGTAAAATAAAAAATATATACTAGAGTGAAATTTCATCCATCGTAGAATCAACGTGATTTTATTTCAGGATAGTCAAGGGATAGTTTCGTTATCGTTACAGTTCCCCTTCGGCAATCATCAGTCTAGCCGTTATTCACTCTTCGACGTTTTTTTTTTCTCGTACAGATACAGCGACAACGTTAATATCCGACACTGGTGCGTCCAGAGAGGAAGACTATCGCACCGGCTATTGTAATTAAAACATTTTCGCCAGGCTGACCTGGGTCCCAAACCGTGCGACTGCCTCTGGCCTCGTCTTTTCCCGCTGCCACGGCCAGGCTTGATGTTTGTCGCCTCGGCTAATTGCAGCAAACGGTTGCGGTGCTGCCGCAACAGCGGGTCCTCCCTGCGATTCATTTTAACCGGTGCAAGTGGAATCCTGTCGTTCCAGCATCCTGCAATCAGAACAAAGAAACACGACCGCTTTAATATTCCCCTGGTTCGGCGATGCTAGAGAGGGGTGGGAAAAAAAAGAAGACAGAAAGAATGCTAACGCCATTCACGGCGACGCGACGGAAGCCGCGGAATGTTCGCGCGATTGTCGCGGCAATTTATCGGAGAACGGGGGAGGGAAATTTATCGAAAGACCGCGCGATGGAAAGACGGAGTGTTCCGTGGACGGCGCAGGAATTAAAACGGCCGAAACAATGCATTAATCTACCTTAATACAACCACACACGCCGATACCGGATAGATTCCGTTGCCAAATGTCCTCGATTTTTATATCTCTCGACGACGTCACCTACCGAAATTTACCCTTCTTTTTTACGACTTCGCTATGCCAACCGCTCATCTTTTGCAGGATTAATTTCCTCCGACTCGCTGTTCCGTTAAAGGGTTAATTGGTTCTCCGCGAAGAATCTTTATTTTTCTATCGGAGCACATATGGATTAAAGAAAGACGCGAAGTATTTGGTGAATTAAAAAGAGAAAGAGAGAGAGAGAGTGAGTTTTATTTGCGTTTGGTTTAAAGTGCAGCCGAGAATTTTTCCTCTTCTCTAAACGACGCTATCGCAAACCAGATAACGGCGGAACGTAATTAATTGGATTAGAGTGAAAGTAGCGACGGAGAGTAGGTCTGTATCGAAGGCAATGTGAATAATTTTCAATAAGAACGATTCCACGGGACGTTATCCTTTTATAGTATTTCGTTTCCAAAGGCATTGAGTCGTAATTATCGGCCTGTGGATTCTTCTCCCGGGGCTCGTGTTGGATCAGGAAAAGAATTTACTACTGACACTGGAGCGGCCGCGCGCGAGCTTTTATTCTTCTCTTTGAAGTCCAGGACCAGCGGAAAAAGTCTTGGCAAATAGGACCGAAAATGTATTTTTTCTCTCTTTCTCTCTTTTTTCTTTCTGTCTCTGTTCCACTGTTAAAAACTTGCGGCATTGTTTCAGCACTGTATCGCCTCTATAAACGTTCCTTTTTGTCCTTTCAATCGAAACGATTTTCCATTGTGCCACAAAGAGCTATGAATTTTTTTATTTCCCATTTCAACCACGTGTGTGTGTCTCACTCGAACATTTCTGCTCAATTATAAACCACGTGTCAATTAGTCGCGTTATTACGCCGAAATGTTTAACAATTCGAACGAACCGTTCGAGATAGGGGATGAAGAACTTTCGCGAGGAAACCGTAGAAACGGTCTTCGTTGTCGGGTGTTCAATTAATCGCAGAAAATTCCGGAATTCTTCGGAAGCGTTTTTTCCATAGTTAAACGGAAATTATCAGGATTTTCAGCGACGAGAAACTAGCGTCGATGTACATAGGTTCAGCATAAGTTTCTGGCGGTTAATGATTATGAGGCTTGTTACAATGTCAGGTATCGATGAAACTTTCCTATCGTTGAACCTGTTCAAGCGGAATAGTTTACACGGCAAATAACGGTTTCAACGACCGCGTGGTTTCACTGTACGATAGACGGTTAGAAACTATTTTTCAATCAACGAAAATTAACGAGAATCCACCGCTGGGGGGAGGAGGAATATATGAAAAGAGTGTTTCGTATAGGTACTGTAGAGAGGAAAAAGTCCATTAAACCGCGCGTGTGTGTGTGTGTGTGGATCGAGGTTGTGCATAATTTGACTTCGATGCACACGCTTATTTAGCTTAGCCTTCGACGCACATGTTGCGCGGCAGGTTTATTTTATAATTTTACAGCAATCGCCGAAGCTACGATAAACGTTTTGTTTACCGGGACAATTCAATTAAAATTCAATCCCAGGTTTAATCAATAACAAACTTTAAAACATTTGTACGACATACAATGAAATTCCCCCCACTCCCGACATTTTATGACCTCTCCAAATACCGCAGTTCGTTTATTTTTTCGTCATACGTGCTTTCAACTGCAGGTAGGTACGTTATTATTTGCCTGAAGAAAAAAAGGAAAAAAGGAAGATTTCTATCACTTCTACCATTTTCTCTGTTTCCAGCCGTATCCTGCACTTCGCAACTTGCAGAATTTTTTCCGATCGAGGATTTTCACGAAACATTTACGAATGTTGCAGGAATAGGGTGGATCATTTCAAAGAGCAGCGTGTAACGTCGATATGACTTTTTTCACGCAACAAACGCGTTTTTAATCCGCGTGCAAACTAAAATGTCGGACGTTGAGGCGAAGAAGGAAGGAGGATTGGAAAATTCTGGATATTTCAATAATTCCACGTTTGAAAAGATCATCCGAGCATCGCCATCCGCTTTCGAATTTCTCGTGCGGTATACTTGTCAGCTCGTTCCATTTTCAATATTGACATATCAGGAATAGGTTGGAACAAACAGGAACCGTGGACGGAGGGATGGCCAATCAAACCAACCCCTTTTACGCTCGTCTTATCGTATTTGCATTATAATATACATTGTCCGTGTTATTGGAAAGCGTCTTTGACGATGAACGGCTGCATACTTGCTGCAAAATTTCGTCGTAATAACGTTATTACCAAGCTTAAGTGTGTTACAGCAATTTTCTGAAAATTACTTCTCTCTTGTGCTTGAAAATTCGTAATTCGCGTAAAATATGTCGCAGAGCAGATGTTAATCGAATAACGATCGGAAAATTCGGATTTTCAAACGCGCCGGCGAGTAAAGCTGCGCGAATTTAGCCGGGGCAACTGTGAAAACGTTGCACGCAGCGCGACGTTACGCGAAAACAAATAAATCGGTAAGCAAATTGTGCGGTTGTTCCGGTGATAGAAATCGTGCGGTTGTCTGTGCGTTTCTCAGTCGGTATCGTAGAACGTGTTCGGCTAAGCCACTCCATAAATTGCAAATTCTGATTGGGATTTACGAGTGGCACGCACTGCAGACTTTCGAAACGAAAAGTACGCGAACGAAACTGGTGCTTCAAGTCGTCTGATCGAGATTTACGGTCACTCTGCCGTGGAAAAAAGAGAGGAAGAGCAAAGCAGACCTCCGGATCGTCCTCATTATCGATCCTTGTTTCGCCTCGTTCTTCTTTTGCTAATGCAAATTCAGTTCAAATCATCTCCGAGCGAAGAAGAATCCTCGAAAAATTAGCCGTTCGTTCGTTCAAGATTTCATCAAACTTTCGTATTTCCCTTGAACCAGAACAATCCTTTTCTCTGTATTGTTTCAGAGAGCGTTGAAAAAATGCTGCGTGAAATTTCACGGAAGAGAAGATCAGAATTGCAGAAATTTTCGTTAATCGAATATTTTCGATCTGACAACTGATAGGCAAAAACCAATCAATCGAAGAACGCGGTTTTCAAAACTACCTTATATTTTCCGCGGAAATATGCAAATACATAATTGAACGAAATTCGACGAACCGTGGAATACCGTTTGAAATCGTGTTAAACGAAATTCGAGCTAATTCTATTTACAGATGATTCCGTCTAATGACTGTCATTCCACTGATTTATGAACAGTTCGAGGCGCCTGCGGTTTTAGGAGCAGCGCGCTGGCGTAATCACGGGCCAGGAACAATAA